TTTTTGAATTTTTTTATATTAAAATATTTTATATTTAATATTAATAAATTTTATGTTATTGCTTTTAAGATTAATTGAAGTACTTGAATTGCAAAGTTAAATGTCGTGATCTTCTCACAGATTATAAATCTCTATGATACAAATTAGTTTTGTAGTTCACAACGTATTACTCTGCTTTTAATCCAAACTTAATAAAATTTAATCCATCTTATAAAAATTTGTACTAATTGTAACTCTACTTACGCAGTTTATCTGTTGAAGCTTTTTTTTTGTTTGAGCTGAATCCATTTTAGACAAAAACCGAGAGGTCAGACAATTTACCCAGAGATTAGGGTTTGATGTTGTGCCAGTCAGTCTAATAAACCAACTGACTCAGACTTTTCATTGTAGTATGGAATTATTTCTAGGTCCTACGTTAAGACAGGATATGCCTAACATTAGCAGTGGCTATTTCTGTAAACTGCTTTTTTTCCAAATTGTTAATACTTTTTTAAATTTTTCATGAAAATTATAAATAAATAAAAAATGATATCTCTTTTGAAGGTAAAGATTAAGTGAATTCATTTCGTTAAATGACTACAAAAACGTTGATAACACATTAATATTAATTAAATTAATTTAATACAAATTCAGTTTAAAAAATATTAAAAAAATTATTTTAACTAACTAACATGAGGTCAGAAAATATTAGCGTTTCCAAATTGATTAAATATTATTAAACATATTTTCATCAAAATAATTCTTTTTAACAAAATAAATAGTAAAGGTTGACCTACTAACTAGAGAAAGATTAGTTTCTGAAAATTTCTTAAATCTCAGATAAAATCACAAATTAACTTTACTTCTTGGAAATATTTGTGTTTAAAGTATTTGTTTTTCTTTATAGACTTCTCTATATATAGATTTCTCTTAGATTAGTGCTCAATAATCACAGTTACAATATGACTTTTATTTCAAAAGTATCACTTCTACCCCTCAATGGAAATATCACCGAAACACATCGAATTTCATAAAGTCTCTCTTTGTTGGGTTCTTGGTGATAAGAGTTTTGATGAAGACGAGGCAGCAGATTATGTGACTAAAAGACACTCTGAAATATTCATAAATGATGCCAACACTTCGATATAAACCGCGATGTATGAACTTTTTAAGAATATAGAAAAATTTACTATTGCGGTAACAGATGAGTTGAAAATCATGAAGACTGTTAAGTCACTAGGACCTCATAGCACTATTATATTGCTATTATACCGACGATTTATCGGTGGCATATTCCAACAAATGAGTTTTGCAGGAATTGCAAAATTTACTTGTGGCTTTACTCCACTTGTGGGGTATCTTAAAATTTGTTTGGATTTGTTTAGAACTGAATAGTGACCTCAATGTTTTGGCAATCATTTCATTGTTCTAGTAAGGATGACGAAAGTGGCCTTAATTTTATTTAGAAATCCAAAGGCCTTACTTACTTGTTTTTCTAAAACAATCCATTATCATAACCTTCCACAATAACAATTGATGAATAGTCTAACATTTTTTTTTTTTTTTTTAAGTTTTCTAAATAAATAATTGTTTAAATGACTTCAACACAAATGAGAAGGGAAATTGTTTAAATCTAAACTCAATTTTTAAAATTTATTTTTGCATTTAAAAGTTTTTATATAAAAAATTAGAAAAATTGCAGAACATGACTATTCCTCTTTTATCTTTTGTTGTTGCTACAGGGGATTTATTCGAGAAAGAAAACAAACTTGACTTCTAGAATAAGAACAAAACTGTCTGGAGTGCAGGCGTGACTTGAATGCGATGTAATTCTAGATGAAATCAAATTAAAGCGATTTCCATTGAATAACTGAGCTCAGTGCATTGGATGAAAACAAATTTTTTCAGTACTTAGTATTTGCATGTACATGATTCGAATCTTAACTATGAATCATGATTTTATTATTATTTATTAGTCATTTGCTTTATACAATCGTTAAGCCATTATTAAAAAACAATGTAATTTAGTTGTTATAATAATATAATAACTAAATAACATTGTTATATACACAATTACATAATAATATATATTATAATAATATCATATGTATATAATGTTCGAGTTAAAAGGCCTGACAGTCATATCATTGTTTTGATTTTATGGTTTGTAATTCATATTAATAAATAAACAAATAATATAACTAAGAATATTTGTTAGACGGTTTCGAATAGCAAAGAAAAGACAACTACAAAAATTTTAGTTAATTTATTGAAATTTGGCTGAACATAAAACGCTGTTTCGAGAGTTGCCAAGTACTCATCATCAGTGGTCCTGAGAGACCTAATATCAGATTATGAAGATAATATGTTATTTAATTAATTTTTTAGTTTTTTTATGCTTGTATCACTTGTTGGTAATTACTTTTTTTTGACTATATCTCATTCTCATGGTTGAAACGAAATTTAAAACGGGATATATTAACTACTGTTACTTTGAAGTTGAACGAAAAGAGTCATTTTATCTGCTGTTTTTTTTAATTGTGGAATTAAATTCTACTAACAAATAACTTCGGCTGGATGGACGACTATAGGACACACTTCATCTCTTATCAAATGGAAAAGAGGTTACATTTATGAATAAATTAGGTGATTTGTTTTTTCTCATTCTACATCACGTGAATTTATTGAAACCGCAAGTGAATGTGAGCTCACATCCTTTCGTTTCCGTGTATATATGAACTTCCTTGGGAATGTATGAACTAGGAAATGTGCACGTAATATATAAAAAATTATATACAATATAATTTATTGCATGAATGTTAATCAGTTCTCCTAACCGCATCGTATGTACAGTATATGATATTGTTCTTTTGAAAAAAGTGAAATAAGAAAAATATATTGCACGAATGGAATGAGTTACTATACAATATAGGACACTGGTTTAACTTAAAGGGATGATATTATTAAAAAAAGAGGTTATAAGGTGTAATTTAAAGTTATGTATATAATAAGTATCAGTTTAAAATCGGATTACAAAAAGTGAATTCTACAAATACTCATACGGTACAGTTTTTATAGACTGAGTAATGACATAGAGTTATTAAAATGGTAAAACAAATAGTTCGATAGATGTTTTGAGAAGAGATAGTGGGGTATGATCAAATTAGTAACAATTTATAGAGAAGTAAGGATGTGGGTTAAAGCAATCATAATTCAGCAATCCACTGTTTGTTTCTTTGAACTTACATATATGCATATGGCTTGTTAACTACTTTAGAATAAAAAATACAATAACTTGGCTTTACAATTTTTTAAGATATTTTTAACAATTTCTAAGGCTCCTACCATTTCGTAGAAGATTTGCAATAGTGGAAAAAAAAATGATACAAAATACCAAATAGTTGGTAGTAATATTCGTTATAATATCCGTAAGATTAAACATATTACTATTGCGGAAAAATAAAATTATTCCTTAAAATAGTTTCGGAATATCCCCTACCAGTATATATTAGTTGAGAGTTTAGCTGAGCTCTTTCTGTGTTCAAGTTTCTAATAAAATGTAAAACTACTCAACAATGTGTAGGCATTTGTGTGCAATTTGGCCATTTTCCACTAAAAGAAAATCCAATACTTTAATTCAGATGCCCAGTAGAGATTTAACCTATCATGTTTGCTAACAGGTTATTGTAGGTAAGGAAACCATGCTAATAAATTAAGTCTACTCTACCTTTACCCAGCTCATATACAATGGTGATTCAACCCCTGAGTTTCTTTACTATACAGTAACACAATGGACCAATAGACTTAGGTACATCTTCTACGGATCGCATGTATAACCTAACCTAGCCGAAAACATTCATCCATCGTGTTCGGTCGTTCTATTTGATTGTTAGAAGATTGTTCCAGAATCTCTATGTAGTTTTCATTGAACCAAATAAAGTTATGGGTCTTGTAGTCTGAGATATTGTTCTGTTAATTTATAGCACTAATTTATCTGGAATAGCTTTTATAATTTCCTATCCGACGAAGCTCTCAAACTACTTTGACAGAAACTGAACATATTCCATGACATTTGTATAAGAAGTCAAATTTCATACAGAACTCTGGTGTTAAAATATAATAATGTACGTATATGAAAAATATAAAAATTAAAATACAAGAAATTCCTTCCGTTCTTCAACGTATTAAAAGTTATATTTTCCTAATAGTTATCGAAAAACAAAGATCGCCTTTACCAGCATTTGAGGAAAAGACACCAGATCACTTGTGTCACTGCCTAAGTTAATATAGACGCAGTCTTAAGCTTCTGGGAGCTATATTCTTAAATTCACTCAACAATGTGTTACGTATTGTATTTGGTTAGATACTTGCATTCATTAATGCGTCCGATCATTAAAGGCTCACCTAAAATGTATCTAATAATATTACAAATGTCGCAACAAAACAGCTTTCTTAATTAAGCGCGGGAAATTCGTTCGTACTTCTGTAGTATATCTACAAATTAACAAACAAAATAATTATTTGTTAATGGTAATATGATGATATACGTTACTGGCACATGCCAAAAGTAAAGACATTGGCCACACACTGCCATGTGAAGAAGCGCAAAAGAAAAGTAATTTGATTCTTTTGTTTTGCGCAAATGAAATTCGTAAAGTGCATTAACTTGCATTGGAATTTCATTATTTAGTACTTCGGTTAATTATTAAATAAAAATAATAATTTCATATTTTTAAATTAATTAAAATGCATGTTAAGCATTTTTATATGAAACTTACTAGGCGAACATAATATTCAGGTAGGTTAGTGTTTAAGTTAGAATAAGTATAAATACTGTACAAATTTAATAAAGAATTCAGATTCAAACAGAACATTGAGTCTCGCTGATTATTTTATTCAAGTTGCCTAGTTGCAACCTAGTTTTATTCGCCTCGTTGCGAACAAGAAAGGCGCCTCGCTGCGCTAGGAAAAACCAAACATGACTATATCTATCAAATCACTTTACAACTCCACTCATTCAGAAACAACAAAATTTTCAATCAGTATAAATAAACGGTACATTGAAGAAGCTGTTGTGCAGCTCTTTACTGAAAACATGAGACCTTTCTCCATGCTCGAGAATACAGCATTTAAGGTACTGACTGAACCAGTATTGAATGCTGTTGGAATAAAAATTAATGAACACAATATTAATGAGCGTATTGTGAAATATTCCACAAAAATTAAGGACGAAATTATTGAAGGCTTAAAAGGAAAGCTCATTTCAATAAAAATTGATATAGCGTCCAGACACAATTTGAGTGTAGTTGCCATAAATGTGCAATATATTAAAAACAAAGAAATTTTAATTAAAACACTTGGGCTTAAAGAAATAAAAGCCTCACATACAAGCGAAACCATTAAGTCAATTACAATGGATGTTTTTCAAGACTTTGGTATAAATTTGCATCAAATTTTAACAATTACTACGGATAATGCTGCTAACATGATTAAAACTGTAGCAGACTTGAATCAAGAATTAAATGAGGAGCAAGCAGTAGAAAGTGACGAAGAACAAAATGTGGATCACTTAGAATTAATGCCTTCAGATCTTGTATCATCTGGAGTTCAGTCTATAAGATGTGGGGCTCACACCATACAACTTTACGTAAACGACGTTATGAAAACGGAAAGTATTAAACAAAACATTGACACATGCCGCTCTGTGTCAAAAAAATTAAGGACTACTTATTATCGGAGTATGCTGAAGAATGGAGGCCATAAAGCAGCATTTATGGACTGCATAACGAGATGGAATTCTACATACAAAATGATAGAGAGACTACTTTTATTAAAATCAATCATCACCTTACTCGGGAATATAAATGCTGAACTATATTTGACCGAAAACAGCTGGACATTTATGACGGAACTTGTTTCTCCTCTAAAACCATTTTATACTGCAACTTTAAAATTACAGTCTGGAAAGTTATGTTTTAGCGATTTATTTATAATACTAATGGATCTTGATTTTGAAGTACAGAATTTGCCGGAAAATGAATTGAGCTTTAAATAAAAGAAAGACCGCACTACTCGAAGGAGATCTCTTTACGGCAGCTATATATTTGGATCCCAGAATTCGTATTTCTTTAAGTGCTTCTCAAATAGTAACAGCCAAGAAGTGCATAGAGTCACTATATAAACGAATTCAGTGTTTAAAAGGTAATATTAATACACAAAAAATTTTAATTCATTGTTAAAATATAATATTTTTGTGCTTTAGGAGTTTTAACAACACCATCAAACTCAGTTGTACTAGATGCAAGCTCAACTAGCGTGACATCCACCAGCAATACCAGACCAGTATCGTTATCGGAATATTTAACAAACTTAGACTTTACACCGGATGATACATCAACTTCAATTTCAGAACTAGAAGAGGATATAATCTTGTACGAACGGCAACGACGATTTCCTTTGGAACACAATATATTGCATTATTGGGACTGTAAATTTCATGTATTAAATGAAATTGCGAACGTTGTCCATGCAATTCCTGCAACGCAAGTAAGCATGGAACGACTATTTTCTTCGCTGAAAATTCTACTATCAGATCAAAGAAATAGACTTTCACCATTTATGTTGGAGAATATACTATTCGTTCGAGCAAACGCTGAATTTAAATACACTTGAAATATATACAACAAAATACTATTTTTTATTTGATATAATATAATTAAGTATGAGTTCTATATTACCAAATAAGCAATGTAAATTTATTAATACAAATATGTAAAATATATTATATAATTAATAATGCAATTCATTAAATCAATTGTGTATGTATATAACTGAAATAAAATTCAAAATTTATAATTAAAATTTAAAATATATGACTTGCATTTATTATTTATTTGTTTTCCAGTGGTCATCCTCCCTATTAGGTAAAATTAAAAAAACTCTTGAAAGGATAATTTTTGTGGGTAAATTTTGCACAAATTTGTTATTTCGCATTTTCGAAGGAGAATCAACTCATTATTTTTTTCACCTGTTTTATATTTCATGGAAATGACTAATCTTTCTGGATAGAAATTAACTGAAGATTTTACCTAACACAAACAAGATGCACTTTGCATAGTCATTCGCGTCCCCCTCACTTGTTTACTTTTTCTATTTAAAAATCTTGAGTTTTTTATCAATTATTAGTTTGTCAAAGACATTATTTAGGTAATAAAATAATATAAGGCAACATTTTTCTGTCAAAATAGTTGAAAATATATATTTAGCTTTCTACCTGCCTTTTATATTTACTTAGGAAAAATTTGCATATTAACTGTCATGTATTTTTACAATAAAATTTATATATTCCTACGCAATAATCTAAATAAGATATACAGAAATTCTTAAAAAATTTTTATATTTTTTACCGAATTATATAAACAATTTTAAAATTTTGTTTTTTGATTTTATTGGCATTATAAATATAATACAAATCAGCCAACCGCAATAATATATTATATCTATGTAATTCATCCCCTAATATTAAATATGCACCAATAAATGCATACACAATATCTTTATTTAAAAACACAAACAAAATACATGCAATACAAATGCAAACAAAATTTTTTCTTTTCCTTATGCAAACGAACCAACAACAATGCACATTACAAACGTTTCCAAATCGTTTTGTTCGACAAACGCTAAAAAACCACTACCTTAGCAAAATGATCACTAAAAAGTACACTACCTTCGGCAAAATATAACTAAAAGTACACTACCTTCGTGAAAAGATCGTTATAATGAGCACTACCTTCGTGAAAAGTACACAAACTCTAAAAATAAAGTTTGTGTTCACGGACACAAACTTTAAAAATTTTTTGATGTGTTTCGGACATGAGCAGTACACTACGATACTGTACAGTTTATTTTCGTTCACTGGTTTAGATTGATAGAGGAATATCATAATAATCCTCTCTAATAAACTTAAACAAAGATACACATGGAAGAAAATGAAACAAATGGTATATAAATATATTACCACTTGTGAAAAATGCCAACAAAACAAACAAATCCGTCACAGTCGAGAAGAATTTTAAATAACCACAACCCCTCATACAACTTTCGAAACAGTACAAATCGACACCGTTGGACCCTTAAGATCAGCGAACGGTTATAGGTACATATTAACTATGCAATGTGAATTAAGTAGATTCATAATTGCATACCCAATGATTAATAAAGATGCTAAATCCATAGCCAAAACGTTAGTAGAACAACTCCTTTAGGATTTTAAAATCAGACCGAGGTACAGAATTTTTGAATGATTTGTTAGCTAAAGTTACTGATATTATGTTAATTAAACAAATATTTTCAACCCCATATCATCATGAAACACTTGGTACAGTAGAAAGGAACCATAGAGTTCTAAATGAATACCTACTAAGCTTTGCTGATGATAACGACTGGAACGTTTGGTTACCGTACTATACTTTTGCATATAATACTGCCCCCCACTCTGATACAGGTTACACACCACATGAGCTGGTATTTGGTAAGTTACCATCCTTACCAAACGAAAAAATAAATGATACACAAGGTAGATTTAATCTAGATAATTACGCTAACGAACTAAAAGCACGACTCGGGTTATCACTTGAGAATGCAAGAAAATTTAGCATAGAAGCAAAAGTTAAACGAAAAGAAATATCCAAAAAAGACAGCTACCCAGCAAAACTGAAAATAGGTGATGAAGTATTAGTAAAGACGCATGGTACACGAAAAGGTACAAGTCCATACTCAGGTCCTTATACAATAACAGGCATAGATAACAGTAATGTAATGGTTAATATAAACAATGAAATAAGAACCCTACATAAGAACAATACGAAGTTATTTACTAGAAGATGAAAGTAAAAATTTATAACAAAACGATTGGTAATACAACTTCCTCAAGAGAAAAACAAATACAACTTTATATTAACATTGAATCAATTAAATTAAAATAAAATACATTAGATATTAGACCAATTATTTAATTTGTTTATATAAAGAGGTTTTCGAACAGAAGTGAAACAACAACAAAAATTTATTTTTTAAATTATTTTAATTAATTGAATTTTTGGCTGACCATACAGCTGTTTCGAGTATTGCCAAATACCCTTCATCAGTGGTCTTGGAAATAATTCTTGTATTTAATTATTCGTAAATAATTATTTTTGAGACTGCAAGTACCAGGAATCGAACTTTGTTTATTGAATAATAACAATCTATATATTACAAAACTATACTTATCTAATTCAGTAATATAATTAAATATGTAAGATTAAAATAAATTAATGATTCTATCTATATAATGATAATCTAAATAAACTAAATATATAATATGTCATAATAAAACTTATTAAACAACAATTGTAAAGCTCATGTAGTGGGGGGTGTAGTGGCATATTAACCTTGACCACACACAATACGTTGTGTGCGGTATTTAATGTGTCACACTAACTCGAAACACTCAAATATCAAGCATGACCAAAAATCCTAATTGTCAAATATAAAATAATTTATGAGTCAGAAATTTGACTCGTCTATTTTGTCATTTCTTTATGACAAAATATTTGTATGCATATTTAATTGTTCCAATATGCATTTGACAATTTGGATTGCGGCATGCTCAGCACATGAATTTGTGTTAAGTGTTTCACAGATCATATTGCAAGAGATCGTGCATGCAATATGATTTGCCCTCAATACAGTTGGTTACCAGATGTGTGCCACTGTGAAATAGAATATAACTAATAAATGTATATAAGCTATTATTGTAAAACATTATATACGTCTAATTTGGGTTAACCAATTAGACGGTAGTAATACAAGTATCAACTAATAGAATCATTTATGAATAAAATTCATATTATTATTACAGTACCTTGACTGCGGCTGAACTATCCCAGCTATAAACATCTCCACCTGAAGCCGTTCATCACAATTAACCATATGCTATTGCCAATCCACCAATCCACCACTTTTCTAAATTTTTGAATTCATATATCTTACTAGCCATTATTAGTTACAAATGATGTCTATGTTCTCGAACTTAGCTCTACAGGCACATGGAAAAATCCATCTCTACAAACTAATGTAATGAACACCTTAGCTTTCTCCAAACGTTGAACATGTCATCAATTAAAGTGCTTGCAAAGTTTCGTCTTTCTTAGATACTAGTAGTACTGGTGATGAATACTGCGTTGGGTTGGATAATGTCTGTTTTAAGGCAATCTGCTATTTGCTGTTCAACTATACTTTGGTCTTCTGCAGGAAATTTGCTGAGTCTACAATAAAACGATACTTCATCTGGTTTATAGCTCTTAATAAATTCTGTCATTTCTGCTTTAAGATTTCTATGTTAAAGATCGCTCAATTCAACTTTGATTTCTCCAGCACCGTTATAAATTAGTACTGAAATTCCGTTATTGTGAAGTTCTGATTGTACAGTTTTCCATTCTATTATCTTTTTGATATATTTCTGTAGCATTCATATTTGCGTTATTTTCTACGTTATCGTTTTGGATCATCTTTGCTTTTTTAACTCATTTAACTCACTCTACGTTTACTATCATATAAACGTTTTCCAAAATGTCATTTCCCAGTACAGCGGCTCTCTCTAACATAGTGAAATTTTACTCGCAGAATGATTTCATCAATTTTTACGGCTTTGACGAAACTGCCTTCCTCCAAAATCAATAAAACGTTTCGATTATTTGCTCAGCTCAATGTCTCCCATCTTCATCAACGCGTGAAGATGAACTTCAATTGATGGCATACATACCGTAACTACATTCTTTAACATTTGCATCACCATGGTCAAATTGTTTATATTGCGCTGACAACGAATAGATAATTTTGTAGTACCTCTCAGTAGCTATTCGCAAAAATGAATTTCTGCGTTTCGTTCTATTGTACTGCTGTAACGTTGTCTTCAAAATCTTTTAGCCATTTGTCATACGATAGTTGATGTTATCCCTAGCATGAGGTCAATAAATCTTCAACATCGTGCAGCGTGAATGCGGACAACACTTTCATGGATGTACACTGCGTTACGCTCTGCACGCTTGCTACATTATCATCATCAGACACTTTGTCATTCTTCTCATCTCATTTTCTGCGTTTCCTATTTTATTTTATAACAATAAACAGGAAATTAATTTTACAATGATGTGTTATCTGTCTATGTCACTGACACTTGCGAGAGGTTCCGGTTATTAATGTACATAAATTACATTATGAATTCTATATAATTTTAATTTGTTTTCCAATATATATAAACCGATAATCGAACTTGTTGCTTACACTTGAGAAGGTGTGCCACACCATCCGTGTTTCTGAACAGACAAAGTGTTGTTCTGTTAAAAGTATGAGCAGTTTCCTTTTCTATTACCCTTTACTTGTGTTTTTAAAAATTCTTAAATTATTATTTATTAATGGTATTGATTGAGCAAAAACCGGTGTTCTACTACTGATTTCAATAACATAAATTATTAAATACTTTTAATGCAAGTATTTTAAAGCAATTTGTGTATTTGTTTAGCATTCTTATTAATTGCATAACAAAATTGCTATCGATTTTGCATTAATGATGGTGAGGAATAGAAATTTCGATGTTTAATAATAATACATATTTTATTATTTATAGAAATGTTTTATTATTTATATAAATATTTTATTATTTATATAAATATTTTATTATTTACATTTGTTTATATTTGGTTTATTTAAAAATAATTATTTCACGGGCTAATTTGATTTATTATATCATACACAACAGGTGTGAAACTGATTGTCGACTTGAATGATAATGGATTATACGCTGCAGATAACTTGGTTCTTATAGGAAGTGCCTTATGTGAAAGACTTTTACAATTTTCACGATATTTCGTGTTCCAAACATCAAATCATTTACCCAGTTCTATAAAATATTTTGCAAATATTATTACGTTTCATTAACGTCATGGAAACCCATATGTCTTTATTACTAGGTATCCTTACCCAACTAAAACGAGTTGGATACCAAATTTGTTTCTGTCTTTTCTGGTATATTAAGGTTCATGGACCCTGGAAGCTAGAGAAGGACCATTTTCCATTATCTGTCTATAATATTCATTACCCACCATTCTGTACATGCTATTAAAAATTGGGTAAAATGAATTAAGTACATAAAATGCCTTACATACTGTTAAACCGATAAGCACAACTGGTCCCCTTTAAATTATAAAACCATCTGGTCACCCAAAAACTCATTTTGGTGACCGTGACAGGACACTTTCATCCAATTCGCATAACTGGAGTCCGTATCAGCAGGTGCTGATCAGTTTACAAATAGTTTGTTGTTCAATTCGCATAATTGGACGCATACAAGTCATAAAAGTGGTGCGCTACACATTAGCAATAGACTTTCGAATTTTAATAACATTCAACACAATCGTTTGCATCATCTGAAGGTTAAAATTGTAGCAGCTTCATTATGTCAGACGGAGAGAACGCAGCAACTACACCAAAACCATTATCAATAACGTCTCTAAAGCAACAAAGAGCATCGTGCAAGGGAAGCTTAACACGAATCAATAATCAAATTGATTCAACAAAACAATTATCTTACATTGAACTGGAGTGTAGATTGGGATTGGTAGAGTCGTACTATAAGCAGTCTACTTACTATCAATCTCAAATTGAGAATTTTGATCCCGCTGATGGTGGACGCAATGATTTAGATGAGTTGTATATCAAAGTTAAAACTAAAATAAAGTCTTTTATGGAAGAACGTCGACCAAGAGATGTTGTTAATAACGAACACAGCTTCGTAATGTCACCAACAATTAATAACAGTCGTTTACCAGCTTTGAAATTGCCACATTTTGATGGAAATTATATGGATTATAAAAACTTCATACACTCATTTAATAACTTAGTTAATAATGATGCTACTATATCCAAGATCGAAAAATTCAACCATTTGTTGACATGTTTAAGTGGAGAGGCGCTATCAACCGTAAAGGCCTTTCAAGTGTCGGAAGAAAACTACGAGCTAGTTATTGCACGTTTAAATGATCGCTATGATAATGACACGCTCATATTTTTAGAAAATATATCTGCACTCTTTAAGGTTCCTGTGGCTTGTAAATCGGATTCCAAACAGCTCAGAAATATTGTAGATACAATGTCAGCGCTCTATAGCTCACTCAAAATATTGAGTTCTACGACACAAATCATGGACGCAATCATGATCCATCTGTTAATGAACAAAGTGGATCCCGGTACGAAGCAACGTTGGGAGGATCAGCTGTCTTACGAAACATTGCCTACATGGGAGGGCTGTTGTAAAATGTTAGAAAGAAGATGTCAACAATTGGAAGCACAAGGCAAAAACAATAACCTTCAAGTATCAAATCAATTAGCAAATAAACCAGTCATTAAGGGATCAAAACAATATACAATGCTAACAAGTATAAATAAATTTCAGAAATCCGAATTGGTATGCGTATTTTGTTTGAAGAAATATCACTCAATTACTACGTGTCAGCGTTTTATTATTTTATCCACTAAAGATAAGAAAGAAAAGGTACGTCAATTGCAATTATGTTATAACTGTCTTAATAAGGGACATAGTGTAGCGGAATGCCCATCAAGATACTCGTGTCGGTTTTGTAAGCAGCGACATCATTCCTTGATTCACCAAACTGTTGAGTCACCAGTACAAGTTCCTTTTCTACATTCAGCGGATAATAGTGAAAATCAAGTTAGTACATTCTCAGCCACATCAAATGCCACTTCAGTAAGAAGCGACTCAATTAAAAGGAAAAGTACAGTCATTTTAGCCACAGCTATTATTCTTGTGCAAGATGCTGGTGGTTGCTATCATATGTGTAGAGCACTACTGGATTCCTGTTCTCAGGTGAATCTACTCACACATTCATTCATCTGGTGTTGATGACGCTTGCATAAAATTAAACTTCCAAACTCAAACTACTATACGATCCAGAGTAAGCAATTTTGAAAAATCGGTTGAATTCCTGTTAGCAAACAACATCACTGGCTATCAACCTGACGAATCTATCTCCTTAAAGAATATGCCGATGCCGAAAGCCATCGAATTTGCAGATCCTGAATTCAATGTCCCAGGAAAAATCGATGCACTATTGGGAACGGAAGTATTTTTCGCGTTATTGTTCTCTGGTCGTGAATCATCAAGCATGTCATCTTCAGATTACCGAAGTTTTTGCACAACATTCCAAACACTAAACTCTAATGTTGAACGTCTGTGGAAATTGGAGGATGTTACTACCCAACCTTCGAAATTCACCATTGAGCAACAACAATGTGAAAAGCATTTTGTAGAGAATGTACAGGTAAATGCCGAAAATCGAATAATAGTACGTTTTCCATTTAAAACCAATCCCGATGCTCTCGGTAACTCTAGTGACATAGCGTTGCAGAGATTTTATTGGATGGAACTAAAATTGAATAAAAATCCATCATTGAAAAAGGATTACGCATTGTTTTTAAAGGAATATGAAAATCTAGGTCATATGTCCCGGATTATGTCTCCTGATCTGAGTCGTGCTCACTATTTCATTCCACATCATTACGTGTTGAAACCAACTAGTGAGACCACGAAATTGAGAGTAGTATTTGACGCGTCATGTCGCTCAGCATCACAAGTAACACTAAATGACTTACTGATGGTCGGACCAACAATACAAAATGATTTATTTGTTACACTAATTCGTTTTCGGAAACATCAGTATGGGTTAATGGCAGACATAAATAAAATGTACCGTCAAGTGTTGCTTCATCCAGATGATAGGCGGTTCCAACTAATACTATGGCGAGAAAATGAACACAAACCAATCTCAACGTATATGCTTAACACCGTCACATACGGCACATCAGCGGCTCCACACCTTGCAATACGAAGTCTCCAGTATACTGCTGAAAATTATCATCAGGCGCATGAACTAGGAAAGGCCGTTATTCTAAACGACTTTTACGTTGACGATATGGTCACCGGAGAGGACGATTTGGCAACATTGATGCAAATAAAAGAAGAAGTTTCTGAAATATTAAGTCACTTTGGGATGGAATTGTGTAAGTGGCATTGTAGTCATTGTAACTTAAATGCAACGTTGGAACGCGACCTTCAGCTGAATGAAGACACAACCAGTGCTCTCGGAGTAAAATGGAGACCAGATACAGATGTATTTATGTTCTCGTTTAAACCTAAAAAATTGGTAAGCGTTACTACTAAAAGATCGATTCTATCATTTACAGCTTCATTTTTCGATCCGTTGGGCCTAATCAATCCAATCATTGTAGTACCAAGAATCATATTACAACAGCTGTGGGTACAAAATATTTCTTGGGATGAAGGCATTCCAGAGATTTTAGCAAGTAAATTTAAGGATTTCATTGATGATTTGCAACATTTACCACTGCTACATATTCCTCGTTTTGTACGAATGTCTAACACAATTGAAGTACAAGTTCACGGCTTCTGTGATGCATCTGTAAAGGCGTACGGTTGCTGCCTATACATGAGATGTAAGGATTCATTGGGAACCATATGCGTAAACTTACTTACTTCAAAATCAAGATTAGCTCCTACGAAAACATGTGCTTTGCCACGACTAGAACTCTGTTCAGCTCAATTATTAACGAAATTATGGGCAAAGGTACAACCGCATTTATCGTTTGAAATATCAGAAGTCCATTTCTGGTCCGATTCACAAATCACACTTCATTGGATTCGCTCTGAATCATCAACACTATCCGTTTTCGTTGGCAATCGAGTTGCCGACATTTAAAATTTGTCAACAAATACTACATGGCATCATGTTGATTCAGCAAATAATCCGGCAGACGTCATTTCGCGTGGGTGTTCGGTGCACACATTGCAGTCATCCATATGGTTTCACGGGCCAACATTTCTCCAAAACGACATTAATGAATGGCCTCTGCACTCATCAGTGGAATTACAGACCACACATCTTAATCTGGAACGCAAGAAAACGTGTCTGATTATTAAACAAAGGAAACCATCATATATTATCGAACAAATTTATTATTATGGTAATTATCTTAAATGTGTGCGTACATTTTCCTACGTGTTACATGTCATTCAACCACGATCAAGAAATACTGATGTACTCAAGGCTAGCGAATTAAAAAATGCTCTATATCATATTGTTTGGGCTATTCAACAGCACCATTTTGCTAGAGAAATTACATTGCTGAAAACAAAAAGGCCAATTAAGGGTCAACTAGTTAACTTATGTCCGTTTCTCGAACAGTTTGGGAACTTGTTGTTATTACGCGTTGGTGGCCGTCTGATGAATGCAGATGTATCTTTTGAAGTGAAGCATCCTCTATTATTGCCAAAGGCGGACACATTCGTAGTCTCATTAGCGACACACATACACCGCTCGAATTTTCATGCCGGACCGCGAGCCTTAACAACACTCATTCAACAAGAATTTTGGGTCATAAATTGCAAGTCTTTAGCAACTCAGGTAGTTCGTAACTGTATTCACTGCATCAAATATAAACCGAAATTGTTAGAGCAAGTAGTGGGTAATCTTCCTAAAGAACGAGTCACAGAATGCTTGCCGTTTCATGTTACTGGAGTCGATTTTGCCGGACCAATACCCACATATTTAAAGATAAGAGGCAAGCGACCATATAAATCTTATATTGCTGTGTTTGTATGCTTTGCAAGTAAAGCGGTGCATTTGGAGGCTGTAACAGAATTATCTGCAGACGCATTCATATCAGCGTTAAAACGATTCGTTGGTCGTCGAGGTGTGCCTATGAAGATATTTTGCGACAACGCAACAAATTTCGTTGGTGCAGATAACAAGCTCAGAGAGTTCCGCAATTTCTTTAATAAACAATGTACAATTAATAACATCACGTCACATTGCGCAAATTTACGTATTGACTTTTCCTTTATACCGCCAAGGGCACCTCACTTCGGAGGACTCTGGGAAGCTGCGGTCAAAATTGCAAAATCACACTTGTACAAAACCCTATGAAATGCTCGACTTACATTCGAAGAACTGGCTACGGCTCTCGTCGAGATCGAAGCTGTGATGAATTCCCGTCCACTTACAAGTATATCCACAGATCCTAATGCCTTGTCAGTATTAACACCAGGTGAATTGCTAATCGGCAAAAAACTAAAGCACATACCGGAACCAGTGATTACGTCACAGGAAATTTCGTTGCTTGTTCGATGGAAACGAATTACTGCAGTAAAATCTCAATTTTGGCGTCGCTGGCAACATGAATATTTATGCACGTTACCATCACGAAATCGTTGGCAACATTCAACTCGCAATTTAAGGGTCGGTAACCTGCCACCTATGAAATGGCTTTTTGGTCGCATCATTCGCACGGTAACAGGAGCAGATGGCAAGGTCAGAGTAGCAGAAATTAAGACGCCTGAAACCACATTCACTAGACCCATTGCGAAGCTGGCGTTACTACCGATATTGAATTCAGATGATTCAATGGGGCCGGGATGTTAAACCGAAAAGCACAACTGGTCACCTTTAAATTATAAAACCATCTGGTCACCCAAAAACTCAAGTGACAGCTAATGTCAAAAAGTTCGTGTTGGCTTGGTTGTTGGCGGAATTTTGGCTTGGTTGCTAGTTTTGCGTAGCGTGCTTAAAAAAAAAAAGTTTACGTGCTTTTTAAATGGTTTAATTCAATTATATATTAAACAAAAGTATATTTAATAAAGTCAAGTTCAATAATTATTTCAATTAGTTTTTTACTTAAACTAAAGTGTACAAGCCTTGGCGAACCGCAAGGCAAAATACAAAAATTATCTTTTTTGTAACACATACTTTTCAAAATATTTTGTCCTAGTTAACTTGCATACGTACTGAAAGCTTCTGATAAATTTTTTCAGATGTTTAGAAAACGGTAGCTGGTATCATCATCCTATCACCGGACAAGAGTGGTCAAATTACACGAATTGTATTGACTATGATGATTTAAAGGTAATATCCTAACAAATATTCATATTTTTCGTGTTTAGCATTACAGATGTGTAGGCAGGAACGGGAAGATCTGGCAACGCCAGCAAACGAACGAGAAGAGGCTAAAAGAAACAAGCAGCAGTTGGTATTAAGTCGTCGTGGTAGTCAGTCGTTTGTGCGCTTTGATATATAGAACTAAACAATAACTATTAAATAAACATTCTTATATAGATATAACTAAATAAACACTATGGAATAAACATTCCTACAGATGTACCAATCCTGATCCAATTGATTGCAGAATAGCAACTTTTAATTCAAAGTGAAAAAAATATAAATTGAATTAACTTCGCCAGAACTTTGCTCAAATGGTTATAGTGTACGAAAAGATAATTACCTTTTTTCATATTATATTGTTTTTAAAATTTCCGCTTTAAAATAAAATCCATTTCTTATATTATATAAGTATGTGGGGAGGAAGATCTGGCAACGCCGAGAAAAAGTAACAAGCAAAAAGAACAAAAGTCAACGAGAGTAGTCCGAAAAGAAGTGCGCGTTTCAGATGACGTATTAACTCATTAACATTATTTCATTCATACATTTTGATTTTTGTATTAAATAAATAACTTGTCTATTAAATAAACATACCTACATTCCTAGCCCCTCATTCCTACATGAGGGCTCGTCAAAAGTTCAATAATTAAAGTTGATATAAAACAGTATAAATTGCAAAAACAAATATTGTTGTAGTGGTGTAGAAAACAGAAGTTGAAATAGTTGAAAAGTGCTACACAAACAACAATTTGTTTGTTAAAAATTTTGTATGGCAGACGCAAATGTAGAAAACAGCGTAAAAATTTCGACAAGAGCAGTGAAGAAAGAACTAAAAAAACAACAGCTAGAAAAAATAACGCCCAACGAAAAGAGAAACAACAGTAAAACGAAGGAACGAATAGAAATCGAAACAAAAACTTTAAAAACCGTAAGTAACATCAGCACGAAAAACAACGAGACAAATAAGAAAAATGTCGAAAGCGACATAAACAGCAGTAGCAAGAACAAATCCAGCGATACGATCACTATGGCTAATACAGAATTAACAGATTTAATATGGTTACTAACGGCTAAGTATACAAATGAAATGTCTAATTCGAGTAGAAATGAAGAGAATATGATTCCATGTTTTGATGACGAAGTAGAAGCATGAATAGAGAAGTGGTTCGAAAATCTGGGAGAATTGGCAGCTGCGTATAAATGATCATAAACACTAAAATTAGTGTTTGCAAGAAATAAGATGACCAAAGTAGCAAAACTTTTTGTGCAAACACTTACAACAAAAAATTACAGTACATTTAAGACTGAGGTGCTAACGGAGTTTACGCATACTTATTTACATATAGAAGTTCACAACCAACTACGAGAAATGAAGAAGAAAGACAGTGAAAGCGCTCATGAATATATTTTACACATGTGAAACATCGGTGCAACTGGATCAGTGGAACAAAAATCGGTGATTCAATATATTGTTGATGGAATCAAAGGAGGGTCAGAAAATAAAATGTCGTTATATGCTGCGAAGAATTATTTGGAGTTAAAAGAGCAAATAGAAATTTACGAACGCATAAGTAAAATGAAACTAATGAATGAAAAGTATGGTAAGAACAATGAAGCAAAGAAGGAGCATTGCTACAACTGCGGATCAAAGGAACACAAACAGCGTGAATGTACAGAAAAGCAAAAATGTTTTAAATGTAATATATCAGGCCACATCCCAAAAAATTACTTAGAAACCAATCTAGGGGTTAGAAGTGTGAACTGTACTATTGTAGAGGTGGAAAAATTAAAATTGGTTAGAATTGACAAAAAAAAATTGAAGTGTTTAATTGATTGTGGTGCCGACATAACGCTGATAAATCATAGTTTATTTAAAAGCAATTTTGTGCAAAAACAAGTGGAAAATTACACGGAAGAAATTGTTGGTTTCGGCGGGTCAAAAATAAATCCAGAAGCCAAAATTTTATTTAAAATCGAATTAGATAAAATAAAATTAGAACACCATTTGATAATAGTACCATATTATACGGTAAACTATTACGTAGTGATCAGCTATGAAGTTTTGAGGAACTTCAGATATGCTTTTGATGAAAGCGGTTATAAATTTTTATCATTTATTACGGTAACAGATCGAGAAGAAACCGAAATATTAAATATTTCAGTAAATGCTAAGAAAATTTCATGAAAGTTCGACGATAAAATCAAACAGATACGAAACAATTATAAGCCAACGAAAATAAAAGTCCAATCGAAATGAAAATTGTTTTGGAAAAAGAACAGCCGATATACTCTGCACGAAGCAGAATGCCGTTGAATGAGCAATAAATCGTCACCAAAAGAGTGGATGAAAATCTGTAGTATATTTGTACTTCTGTAGTAGAGTTGTGTTAGCAGGGAAAAAATATGGGTCAAAAAGAGTGTGCATTGATTATCGCCGTCTTAACAAATTAGTGTTTAAAGACCAATATCCGGTACCAAATATGGAAGATATACTAGATAAATTAGAAGATGCAGCGTAATCGATATCGATGTATGCTTTTTTACATGTGCCAATTAAGAACAACAATCGGAAGTACACAGCGTTTGTAACAAAGGATGGCCTGTTCGTGTTTAATTTTGCTCCTTTCGGATTTTGTAACTCGTCAGCAAACTTTATTCGTTATATGAATTGCGTGCTTCGACAAATAATAAATGAATTTATTTTGGATATCTACATGGATGATATTATAGTTTACTCGGCAAACGAAGAGGAAAATATAAAAAAGTTAGAGAGTTTTTTCAAAGTGGTAGCGGAAAATGGATTGAAAATTAAACAGAACAAGTGTAAATTTTTGCAGAAATAAGTTCAATTTCTGGGGCTAGTTTTCGAAAAAAGTACAATCAAACCAAGTAATGAAAAAATAAATGCAATAAAACATACACAGCCGACAAGCGTGATGGCCATTCAAGCATTCAAGCCTCACGGATGTCTTCAGAAAATTTTTAAAAGATTACGCAGCCATTATAAAGACATTAACAAACTTGTTGCGGAGAGACACCAAATTCGTTATAGGTGAAGTAGAACAGAGACCCATAGAAATTTTAAAACAAGCGTTAACAAATAAGTCTATTTTGCGAATTTTTTCATAGAAAGTGAAAACGGAGCTTCATACAGAGAGATCAAAAGATGGATTTGGAACTATACTGTTTCAGGAGTATGAAGGCACATTACATCAGGTATATTATTGGAGTAAAAAAACAACGGATGCTGAGTGCAAACAACAACATTATATATTAAAGCACTATCTGTTATTGATTTTCTTTTAATAACAGACTAAAACGAATATAAATAACACTTCGTTCAATAATATGTGTGACTAACTAATTAAAACACATTTTTTTGCCAAAATTCGTTTTTATTCATCAACATAGTCCCCTTTTAGGAAGATACAATCATTCCAACGTTTTTGCAATCTTTCGATACCGCCTTTGTAAAACGATTTTTCATTGCCTTCAAAATAGGCGTTAGTTTCGGCGATT